AACTTCCGAAAATCCGTGGATTTCAATGAGTCCCGCGGCACAGCTGCTTAGAACGAGCGATCGTTGTAAACTTGCCGGGGCTGAAATTCGCGCGCGATCGCGACGGCTGCGAGTCAGCCCTCTCCGCGTATTTACGAACGCCGGAAATATTCTCGCGGAAGTAAATTCCCGTTTACGATGCCGCGTGCCGTGGCCCCCCTGTATACGAAAAACCTACATACGCCGCCGCGTGTACACGTCGCTCAAACGTCGGGTCAGTCAGGAATCGCGAGAGCGCGAGCTTCGAGTCGTTGTGTCGTGAAATAACGCGAACCACGGCCGGATATGAACGACTCGTCGAATCTGCGTGTTTAGCAGTCGGCGCTGTCTCTGACAAATCTCGTTGCGCAGATGGTTTTACGATATGATTTGTTTCTGCCAATTTGTCCCGCGAACGGCCTGCAATATTTTCGTAGATTCCGGTCGGAAGAATCGTGACGAAAATGCAGGCTGCGAATGCGATTTGCTTCAATGCGATTTGCTTCGGTGTCTGATTATATTAAATTTTAATTGTATATAATTTTAATGGTATTCAATTTTACTTTACAGTTACGATAATTTTGTAGGCTTCGCGTGAGATGGAAATTCTTGCGCGATCCATGAATAAACTGAGCGATTTCGATTTTTTTAATATCAGCAAATTGGTTATAACGAGACAGTATTTTTAGAGTCAGAAATGCATGAAATCTGAATTCTGGTTGTTACACGTTCGATTCCATTTTTTAATGAACGTTCTACTTGAAATTTATTGTATCGATAAGTTAGAATCACTCTAAATCGAATTTCGATAAAATTGTGAAAATTTCGGTGGTTGGAATTGATTCGTGAATTCTGTGCAAAAGTGAAAAATTTCGAGTTTGCTTGTTAATATCAGAACCGATCCACGTCTATTGGCTTTATTTTCAAGTTATTGCGTGGATAATTTTATAGAGTTCGTGTGAAATGCAAGTTTTCTGCAGCTCTTAATGGCTGTGCAATTAACAGCGTGGCAGTTGAATTAATCGTTGCTCGTGCTAATGATGAAAAGGGACGATTGTCGCGGCGAATAACATAATCGAGAATTTGTTGGAGGCGTTCGTTTTTTCGAGGAGGAAGCCAAACCGAGGGAAAATTAGAATTCTAGCGCGGCACTGTTTCGAACGCTGTCACTGGGACAGGCAAAGAATACTAGAACCGGTTGTTTACCGGATCAGAAACGTCGCTGAGCTAGTTTTATTGATGCTGGTGTCCGACCAGCGGATGTTCCAACACGAGCGCGCGCGAAATTCGCTGACTGCGAAACAGATCAGGCCGACAACGGCCCGGCCAGATGAAAAAGAGAATGGAAAGCCGCCGTGTGAATTTGTTTTAAATGGCCAGCAGCGCTAACGATCGCGGCCGACCACTTCATGACTGACATATGCGCGACAGATTCCGTTCGATTCTTATACGAGTCGGTTCGAGTTGTTTCGTCACGTCGGATTATGTACTGCGAATATTTTTGTTGGCGACACCGTGAAACACGGTAAAACTGATAATTAGACGAAAGCAGTGAATTTTATTTATAATCGTCATTTAATAGACCGCGGATTTTCTTGACAAATCAAAATTGTCTAGGTTAATTAGAAGAAATTGGAGTCGAATAGAAAGTGACACTGAAAAAGCTGTAAAAGAAGTAATCTGAACAAAAGCACTAGATGTGTATTTGTATTATAATTTTTATTACTGGAGAATGGATTTGTATAGGAAATGAAAGTTGTTTACGCTCATTACAACAAATTGGAGTCGAGTAAAAAGTTATTTCGTTTTGGAATAATATCAGCAAATTGATTATAATGAGACAGTATTTTCGGAGTCAGAAATGCATAAAATCTGAATTCTGGTTGTTACACGTTCGATTCGATTTTTTAAAGAACGTTCTACTTGCAATTTATTGTATCGATAAGCTAGAGTCACTCTAAATTTTCATGGTATCGTGTAAACTATATCTTTTATTTACCTTTTCGAAAAAATCGAAAAATTCAAATAAAATAGTCCGGGTATCCCGCAGAATCTTTCCCTCGCAGTCCTCATCCGATTGTCTTTAATACTTCAATGATCATGGTATACTATCCGTTTAGTGTAATTTTATGCAACGGAGCCGTGGAAATTAAATATTCGAAAAATGTAATAAATCAGTTAGCATATTTCCAGTCAGAGTTCGCCATTCCTGTTGCAGTTTCACGGTGGCAGGAGACGCAATTTATATCCATCAGACTTGTATCTGATAAAGGGGAGCGGAATACAAGTTTCCTGTTAACTTTAAATTGCAAATTTCGATTGTGCTTCGGAATTCGTTATGGAACTTGCCCCGCGCGACTGTTAAAAAGTTGGACACGAGTTTTAATAATGCGAACGAGTTACTTCACTTGAATTAGAAGTTCCATCTGTTGATACAGCCTCATCAATATCATCGATGTCTTCGTTTTCACGGCGGTTATCCTTTCCTTGGGAAACCGCGCCGCGAATTCTAGTAATGCGCCGATCACTTCGTGGTCTTCCCGCGATGTTACCTGATTGACGAAGTATGGTGTAATTTAAAACTCGAATGGCGAACTATTCCGACGAAAATATCGTTTAGTGTGCTCAGGATCATTTATCAGTTCAATTATCAATTCGTTTCGACGTACTTTTTAAGGTACTCTTTCTGAGCACGTTAATTTTTCAGCAGAACATAACGGAACGTGTGAAAATTTTGATTAAATGTTAGACTGCCGAATAACAATATTTATACTTCAATTTGCACACGTCTCATTATGATTTGTAGAAAAACTGTCCAAACGGATTCAAGAATACGTTGACAAAAAATTGATAAGCAAAAAATTATAAGCTTTATATAAGCTTATAATTTATAGCTTATAATTTATATATAAGCTTAATATAATTGTAATAAAAAATTATAATATAATATACTCAGTTATATTTTTGTTTAAAAAATTCGCCGTTCAGGTGTTAACACGTTGCGTTATAATTTCTTTCGCAGCTACGTTAAATCTCCCTTTTTCGTCCTTAATAATTTTCCCGATAAAACGAGATGACTTTTGTTGTTTGTATGCTTTAATTTACTTTCATAACAGAAGTACCAAATTGTATTTTCCATTCGAATAAATGAACAACATTCGTATTTAGTAGATTATGCAGGAAATCTTCGTCAAAAACTGACTCGGTGTTATATAGTGCAACGGGTGAAAGAAGCTACGCTCGATAAGTCGTGAAGGCGGCAGGATTTTAGGCGAGTTTAGCATCAGCTATTTATGTGCGACTGGAACTGTTATTCCGGCGCGAGAATCCGTGAGATTCCGAATCTCGAGGAGAGGCTCATTGCGAATTAAACCGTGACGCCACGCGACGGACACGAGAATTCCCGCGCGGGGCTCGATAAAGTCAAACTCGACGGCTTATCGCGGCCGGATTATGCTGCTTTCATCGAACAAGGACGACGACGTCGCTGCGCTACTGACAAATCGCCACTGGTCTAAGGTGCACTTTATGTTCTCGTGAAAATCGAGAGTGCGGGGAACAATAGAAACGCACTGTGTTATGAGCATGTTAATGTGAACTTATTTGAGTACCGATTCAAATTTTATTCCAAAGAACAAATATTGAATTTAGCAGAACTGCTGTTGTATGAATTAATCGCGTCGAAATTGTTTGGATTAGAGAATTTTCATTTAATACAATAAGAAACATTTCGCACCTGAATTATGTTAAGCACTTAAGTGCCGAAAATTAATCACAAAAATTCCCACAAATTCAAGGTAATTAGTGAACGAAATTGAAAGTAGAAAGGTAAAATTTATTGCTGGAAATATTAGTTTAATTCTTTTATGTATTAGAAATCCTAGTAGCATTCAGTTTGCTCGAATCGATTACAATAAAAGTGAATTTTAAAAATTAGCAAAAAATTAGTGGCATCCGTTTATGGATACGGAATAGTGAAAGTATCGAGAGAATTTAAGAACAGCGTTTTTACGAAAGTGATCTTGTTGTCAGTGAGAGAATAATTTCTATCGACCTCCTCATTTTTTGCAAATTAAAATTAAGGTAGAGGTTAATGTATTATATTTGACGTTTCCAATCATTAAGATAAGAGAATATTTTATTTCTTGAAATTGTGTATTGCAACTGATCTGTTTAATTAACTAATATCTAACTCTATAGTATATATCGCGGTATATGAAAAGCGAAAGCAATTTATCGTTGCAATACGGTCTAACGAAGAACAAAATACGAAAATGACGAAATCTCGGTTACCTGAAAAATCGTGATATGCTGAAAAAGACGTAGCTTGGAACTAGCGGGACGATCTTATGCATATTCAAATATTTAAACTACCATCGGACATGAGCCGTGGATAGCATTATGCATTCCGGAGCTCCGAGCAATACGAAATACAGAAAAATAATGAATCGTTATTTAGAATAAAGTATTTAGTATCATGTAACGCGCACTATGTGGCCTGACGTTTGTATTGCGGAATCGAACGTTCGAACGAGCATTTTAAAAAAGACGTATCGAAAAATGGAAGCTCGTCATTGCGCACGCATTAATTACGAAGAATTGATTAAGAATTATAATTTGAAGTGCAGAATTAACGAACAGCGTGCCGAATAAAGCTTATTACGCTGTCTCAAAACATTAGAAATTTCTAAAACGTCTGCAAAATTCTAAGATCAGACATTCTTCATAAATTAAGGCTAATTAAAACTGTAATAATAATATATAGAATATAAATAAAATATAAATAAAATATAAATTAATAAGATTAATGAAATATAAAATATAAATTAATATCATATAAATTAATATCATATAAATAAATATCATATAAATAAATATAAAATATAAATTAATATCATATAAATAAATATAACGACTTAAGAAATCGTCTACCTTGCAAACTGTTATTCTTCTAACTTTTGTTTTCTTTCTATTTGATTCAGGATGGACAATCGCGGATATCCCGGCTTCAAGGACCCTTAATTTCGGATGTAATTCCAAGTGCGATCAGTGGCCCGCGAATCGAAGGACAGTGCGCTGAACGGTATTGCAAGCGGTGTACGATATGTGTCGCAGTTCAAGGGAAGTGTTCAGTCGTAACGAAAGGCCGGGGATGTTGAATTCGACGAGGTGATTCCTCTGGCTGGGAATGTCATCCTGAAGGAAGCGAGGAATCACAGAGACGAAAGATGTGTTGCTCGGGTGGCCCTGGTGGCATCAGATTGACCAGGTGCGGTGTCGTTTGCGGGATCGCGGCGCTGGCTGCCCTAAGCACGGCCCTTTTAGGCCCTGCATGGCTCCACACCGAGGAGAAGTTGAATCTTCCTTATCTACCGCGTAGTTATGCGAACGCCGTGAGTGTGCGGTTCAAGTTGGGCCTCTTCAGGGTCTGCCCGAAGATCGTCAAGCCAGCGAATTTTACAGCTCGTGAGTACTTCTTCGATTTTTTTATCGATTAGTTCTCTTCTAAGTGACATCGATGCTCTCATAAAATGATTGCGAGTCTTTATGTATTTATTGTACATGAAACATGTGCACAACAATGACCAAACACTTTGTCAGAGTACTCGAACTTGTTACAAAACTTTATTTATCGAAATTATCGCTCGTGTAGAGTATTTGATAGTCAAAGAAATTGGAATGTTCACCTGTTAGTTTACGAAAGTATCAATAACTTCATTTGTCAGAGGATACATCTATCTGAGAATGATAATATTTATCTGCAATTTGTGTTAATCTGACAAATAATTTATTTAAATATTCTAAGTAATTCAAGTAATTTAATTGTTTGAGTATTCATTTGTTGTTTCAGTGTTCAATAGTAACTTGCTGAAATAATTATCTACTAACGCATTGGTCTGTCAGAATGCTTACTATAAATTGTTAATCTATCAGAGTACTTGTTACGAAGTATTAATCTGTCGGAGCACTTATTATGAAGGGTGTTCCACAATTATTTTCACAGCCGAAAATGAGGGGTAGCTGAGGTCATTTGAAGTAACTTTTTCCTTTGCGAAAATGCGATCTGCGGCTTTGTTTACGAGTTATTAACGGAAAACACAGACCAATGAGAGGTGACGGCGCGAAGTTCGAGAGCCCGCAGCACGAGGCTTTGACAGATGGTCGGGACGGACTCGAGCCGCGTTCGAAGTATTGAACAAGTCACGAAGCGAGAAATTTCCGGATTTTTTTTTACTACGTAACAGTGATATTTTTAAGAAAAACGCTGTTCACCTTTACTATAGAACGTTCAGAATAACCTTGAATACAACCTTGACATATTAAGGTTATCTTAAGGTTATGTCAAGGTTTTGTCAAGATTATGTCAAGGTTATATCAAGGTTATGTCAAGGTCATGTCAAGGTCAACATATGAAATATTTAACCAAGGTGTACAGTGAAGATTAACAAAGTACGTAAATGATATTTCAATTTAAATAATTCCGTGTCCGAAACAGTTCAACGAATGATTCGCAAAGCTAATTTAATAAATAATAATCGTGTTAAAGGATGTAAGGGATATGTTTGTTAGAGAAATATGAAGAATATTATCAATAACCTTGACATAACCTTGACATAACTTTGACATAACCTTGACATAACAATAGTATACATATTTTAGTAATTTCTCCCGGAAATGCCATATTTCAGGTTGCTGTGAATTTCCCTGTGATAATCCTACGCCTATATAATTTATTACTATGTCGAGGTTAAGAGTCGACGTAGTTCTCGAAATAGAACGAAAAATTGTCTGCTTGGATGTGAGTTAGGTAAGAAAAACCGCAGATCGACAAGGTACGTGGTAGGTACATTCATTTCTCCCTAATTCGCGCTCAGATTGCGCACAAAAATGGACAATTTGGGAAGCGGCGATATGATTATTCGAGCCTTGCGTCTCGTTTTTATAGTATCAATAACTATAAAAACGAGCCGCAAAGCTCGAATAATCGTATCAACCGCCTCCGAATTGCCTTCGAATCGTATCACGCGGCCTCCGAATTGTCTTCGAATCGTAGCAAGAAATTAGAAATAAAAAAGGTAAGTCATCGTTCTTATTCTAGAATTACTATGTATTCATATCAATGTACACCAGCATGCTGGCCGCTTTTGTCAAACTGTTCCGAGTTTCTATAAGAACGAGTCGCCCGAGTCGGCCCGAAGAATCGCGACTCGGTATCCTCGAATCTGCCGGTTTCAATTCCGACCTCTGAACATTTCTCGGAGAAATTACTGTATATAGTATTCATCTATCAATATACCTAATTACAAAGCATTGATCTATCCAAGAATTTTTCCACAAAGAACTCGCGCACATCCGAGCACAAGGCACCCGACAGTCATCGAATGTCTTCTATTTGCAATGCGTCGCACCAAGCCGCAGTACGATTGGACAATGAACTCCATTTCACTGTGTAATCTGTCAGTAAACCCAAAAAAAGGCGGGGCTCGGAAGAAATCCTTTGTCGCCATGGCGACGGTGCGCTTTTTTTACGCGGGGCGCTTAAACCTTTCCATTGTTCCCTTAAGGAACAAAGAGTCATGGCGAAGAGTCAGATAAGAAGGAAAGAAGAAAACTGTTAGGATTACAAGGCTATCTGTATTCATTAAACTCTTATCTTCTCTACTTAGGCCCTGCTAATTAAATAGTCGGGCGAAATTAATACGCGATACTGTCTTTATCACCTTCGTCCCCCCCTCTCCCGCCGACCACCCCCTATCTTGCTAGCTGGTCTCTCGACGGAAATAAGCTCGAACTTTCTCCTTTATTTTCTTGGAAAGTTTTTCGTATAAAGTTTAAGCAGAAAACCTTTATCCGGGGGCTCCGAGATCCTCAATCACGTTCTCTCCTACTCTCGTCCTCCCCCCTCAAAATCTCCGGCCATCAGCGGGAGCTGCTAGGAACCATCGCGAAACCCGAATCCGCCCGAAAGAAGGCTGCATTCTTCTCGTTGAAACGGGACAATGATCCAAATCCGACTGGCAACCAATCGGAATTTATCCAGTCGATCTCGGGCAAAGAAATTAGACCATTGTTACATGGGCTATCATTTATTGCTTACAATACACATATAGAAGAGCAGTTAAAGAAAAGTAGTAATTATTATTTATGATTTTTAAGAGTGTCTACTTAATTTTTCTAAGCAGAATACTTTTTTGACCATATCTTCTTTTACTATACATAGTTCTGTGCGAATATATCCGTATATAGTACATTGCGACAGAAATAACAGTTGTTTGATGGGACTTGTTAGTCAATCATAACTGATACACCATAAGAAGACAGCTGGTTATACCCATTTACAATAGCACGGGACAATCATAATTGTCTCTCACAAGATTAAAATGTATAATTTCTTGCAACATACAAATTGTGGTTGCATCGAAAGATTTTATCACATATGAGCCGTTTATTTTGAAAGTGGCATAAGTCACTTTACCGTAATGAATTTTGGTGATTTTTTAATGTTTACACGAAATTATTTATACTGAGAAAAATATCAGTATCCTGAGATAACAAATACAAGTAAATCTTCTCGAAAGTTAGCATCCATATTTTTAAACGTGTTAAAACGCAAACCCTTAAATATGTCGACTTAACCCTAGAAAGATAACCATATGACAACGTACGTAAAAGATAACCATACGCTTCAGAGGCGCATGCTTTTCTAAGGCGTCAATTTTATACTAACAATGGATATTTATTTAAGTTAATCTAGTCATTTTAAAGGTTTGGCATTATTGTAAAAATAAAATGCATTTATATTATATTTTTTTATATTTTAAGTAATTTTAAACTTAAATCACTAGACCTCTATGAAAAATTAACAAAAATCAACAGTCTTCGCAGGCGCCTCTGCGACGTAGGTTATCTTTCTCGGGTTAAAAACAAAGTGACTTATGTCACTTTCAAAGTAAACGGCTCATATTATGGTTCTGGACAATTACATTGGGTTTATGGGGCACGCGCATTCTTGAACAAAATTTATTCGCTGGACTGTCTTCAAACGACGTATCATGATCGTTCGTATTTTCAAATCAGGATCCGAGGGTCGGACAATCTGCAGTAAGCGAGAAGAATGCCCGAGAACCCGTTCCGTTCGTTCGGAGACAAAACACGATACCAGACGGGGAACAATGTTTCTGGTCTCGCGAACGAAAACTTTCGTAGCCAGACTGGAAGCCCGACCGACCGGTCACGGATTTAATCTTGAAACACGCTCGCCGAACTATTCGACCGCGCCAGTTCGGAAAAACACGGCGGTATTATTAATCCGTGCCGGTAAATGATCCGCAGCCGCGTGTAACCGGTGACCGCTGGTGATGGCTAGCAGCCACCCTGGCAAAGTCAATATCCAGCGGGGGTTAATATCGGACCGAGATCCTCGGTTGATCTTGCAGTTAAACAGAATTTCATCCGAGAACTTTACCAGCGGCGAGAGTTCAACACTCCGACAAATATAGAAAACAGCGGGCTCGACGCGCGCGTCTTCGCTCTGCTCCGCCTCGCTCCGGCTCGCTCTGTTCCGCTCCGCTCCGTTCCGTTTTGCTCGACTCTGCTCTGTTCCGCTCGGTGCAAACTTCTCTCCGCTCGAACCCGAGAAACTCCGTCGCCGGACCAGCCAAGGAGAAGGGACTAGCTTTATCTGGAGACTTCGAAATTTTCTGTCAGTTTCGCGGCTCCTTCTTATTCCCCGAGATTGCCGGCGCGTTCCAGAAGTTCTCGAGAGCGCGCGCGCGC